CAACAGGGAATTCCCTCTGCCAGCCAGCGGCATTGTCCCTTCCCTAGGCGGTTCACAGCTCCAGGTCACTAGTCCCTCTATAAATATCATCAGGACTAGGATGAAAAATTTCCTAGTGCAATTTTTAGGCTGGGTGTAGAACAGAGTCTAGAACTTCCTTGACTACCTCATGGGAGGTGAGGGGAGAGCGAGCTGAATGAAGGCACTAAGAGTTCTGGTAACTTTAGACAGGCAACTCACCTGGGAGAGTAGCTGACGCCTCTCCGCCATCTCTCCCTGGTAGGCTCTTTTCAGCTCAGTATCTCTTACGGGTTCAGACCCTGAACTTCTCTGTGGCCAGCTCTTCACATCCATCTCATTCCCAGCTTTCTGCCCTTGAGTCTGCCTGAGGCGGCTAAAAACACTGGAGTGCCTTCCCCTTGATCCCACCCTTATCACCCACTGGGTGTGGAATGCTGTGGGAAGCAGGGCTCATAGCCTTGGGTTCCACAGTGTCACTTATTTCCCAGACATGTGTCAGCCCCACCAGCAGCTCGGATTAATAGGGAGGGACGGAGCCTCCATCTCCAACGTGATGCCCAGGACAGCTACCAGGGTAGGGTAGATAACAGGTGAGAAGAGGAAGTCAGCTAGAGACATAGGGAAGGCGACAGTGGGAACCCAATAAACAAAAGATGGAGAAGTAACCTTCTCTTACCTAGTCAATAAATTAAATTTGATGAAGGACAAAGTACTGCATAGGGCATTCTGTTTTTCCCATCAATTTTTCTAAGACATTCTTTTCCTATGAAGTCATTATAAAAGAAACTAAGGCAAACTGAATTTCAGGTCTCTTAGGAGGTCCTCTTAGGAGGGACTGAATGGTATGGACACCGACTCTCTGGTCTGCAATATGATTCTGACCTAAACTAAATGGAATTGCTCAAAGTGGGAAGCTAGACACCATTAAAAGTACCATGTATTCCACAATTAGAAAAATTTAATTTTTACTGTCATTGTTTTTAATTACATGTCTGTATGTATGTACACATGAGTACAGGTGCCCATGAGGTCAGAAGTTGTCTGACCCGCCCTGCAGCTGGATGTATAGCAAATGTGAGTGGCCCAACCTAGATGCTAGTAGATCTTCTACGAGGGCTGTTAAGTCCTCTTAACCACTGAGCCATCTCTCTGCTCTCTCTAAAAACATCATTTTGTGTGTGTGTGTGTGTGCGCGTACACGTGTGATGGTCAGAGGACAACTTTTGGGAATTGATTCTCTCCTTGCACCATGTAGACTCCTAGGCTGGAATTTAGGTCATCAGGCTGCAGGTGACTTAATCATACTGAGTTAGTGTTGAATATCATTAATCAAAGGGAGATATACATGAAAACCACAGTGAGACATTACTTGTTAGAATGGCTGGCACCAAGGACAAGCGTGGCAAGCACTGGCAAGAACACAGAGAAAAGGGAACCCTTGGTACTAATAGTGGGAGAAACTGTCATGGTCCTCATGGCAAACAGTAAGCCAGAAATAGAGCTACTGTAGACTCAGCAATCCTACCTGTTTATACAGAGAGAAGAAAACAAACCACCGTCTCTCAGATACCTGTGTTCTTTTGTTCACTGTGGCACATTCACAACAGCCAAGACACAAAAACTACCTCCATGTCTGTCAACAGCTGAAGGCATAAAGGAAGTCTACACATATGACTCAGCGGCAAAACACACTTTCTTTTAGACAGTGCTAAGAAAGATGTCAGACATATTCAAATACTGTGCATGTTCATAGTCAAATACTGTGCATGCTGTTTATATGCAGAATCACAATGCATACGGAGCCAAAGGCTATTACAGGCTGAGATGGAGTGGGAAGATACTGGCCAAGGGTACACTTTAGTTATTGAGCTCTGAGTTTTAGAGAGCTCACAAACATGGTGGCTACAGTTAGCAATACCTGTGTACCTGAAATCTGCTAAGGGTTGATTTTAAGTGTCCACACATATACATATAGGTAATGAGAGGTGATGGTTAAGAACCTGGATCCTGGGGATCATTTCACCATGCATATATACTAGTATATCAGGTTGTGTACCTTCACTATCTATACTATTTCTAATAGTCAATTACATACTAGTAAAGCTGAAAATAATACCAACACCCTTTTTAAAATCAGCCCTGAGATTGCATGGTATACAATCCACACTCCAAGGTTACAGAGGATGGGAGAGGGAGTAATAGGTCAGATGAAGACAACAGAAAACCAAGATCAAGGGATTCCTAATGAAGATCAGAGATTATATATTCTTGGAGGGTTTCAGAGACACTCTCCCCATTTGTGGCTCTCTGAAGGTGACCACTTTCTGTAGGAAATTTTCAGAAACAAGTGTCAGATGTGATCACTGCTTCCAAAGTATCACTAAGCACAGTAGTACCTTAAAGCAGAGCACTGTGGTCAAGGGCTGAGATCTGAAATCAGAGACTAGCAGGGACTGCAAGGCACTCACACCCTGCCAAGCTGAGTGGGAGGCACTTAGTCCTCATGAAAAGTACCAACTTCAATAAGAAGACCCTGATTCTCAAAGCAGGAACATCATATATATATATAGGCTACTAGTCCTGGACTGCAAGAATTTAAGAGTGAGGGACTGGGGCGATGGCTCAGTAGGTAAGAGCACTGACTGTTCTTCCAGAGGACCTGGGTTCAATTCCCAGCACCCACATGGCAGCTCACAACTGTCTGTAACTCCAGCTCCAGAGGATCTGACGCTCTCATATAGACCAACTTTCAGGCGAAACACCAATGTACATGAAATAAAGATAATTTAAAAAAAAGAATTTAAGAGTGAAATAGCTTGTGTTCAAAATGAAGAGTAGTTAATCCTATGAGCTACCACTTTATATCCGAAATCTTATTGGGCTCAGTGCTTAGATTCCAATTTGGAGGGCCCCCAAGTTGAGCTATGGGGTAGTCTTGCAAAGGTTCTAAGTCTGGAAACAAATTCATGAACAAGGATGTATGTGTATTCTTCTAAAGTTTTAAACCATCTCCAATGGCCCATGATATACTAAGACTAAAAACCATATACAAGATGGGGATATATGTAGCTGTGTGTGACAACTGTCTCTTAGCATTCCTACCCCCAGATTTTCAAACAGATTTTCTTTCCAGGTTATACTGGTTTTCCAGCTCCAACCTCTGCTAGTTTGACCTTGCCAGTGTATAGGGCAATAAATACAAGTGCAACTTTGTAGTACTGGGGAATAAAGTGAGGCCATGCTAGTCAAGGATCACTGAGCCATACTCTTACTCCACACTGTGACTAAGCGTGAAGCAGGCAGTTCACTGCAGCCTAATGGAGCATGTTGAAGTGTAGATTAGACAAAGGGTCTGGTGAAGGGTGGGACACAAAGCAGTCACACCCTAACCAGCACTCTTTAGGGATGTTTTCACCCATCTTTCCCTGTGTGTATGCAGGCAGCATGGAACCCATATCCAGCTACTTCCTGTAAATCCAGTAAAGCAACCTCAGTTTCTCCAAGGCACCCTGTTTGCAGCAGGATTCATTGCTCAATCCTCTTCCACTCCACAATGGGCTTCATTCTCTATCCTTTTAAGAATCCGTTGTCTTTGCCCATGCTCTGCAGATTAGGCCTTCTGGAGTAGTTAGTATACTACCAGTTTTTCATCTGTTTCTATTTTTTCCAACCTAGTATTTTCCTGGCATCACTTTTAACCCTTACTGTGATTTTTTTTTTTTAAAGATACAAACCCTTTCCTTCCGTTTAGGTAAGGGCAAACAGAGACTGTTAACTACTTTATCCAGTGTCTCAGCATCATTAAAAGGCATCTTAAAATCAGGGCTTTGTGATTTTAGGACATGCCCTCAAACCTACCTTTCTATTTTGACAGCTCAACCTCTCTGTTATTGTGTCTCCTGGGGAAAACCAGGGAAAGAGACTCCCTTATGGGTCTCCAGGGAAGCTAGGTGCCTGCAACACTCCATCAGCTGTAGTGGTGTGTTCCTCTTTAGACACCTCCTCCCCTCCTTACAGCTTTGCTCTGGTGAAGAGTGGTTTCATTTCTTCCTGCTTTCCTTTCCTGTTTGAGAAAACAGGATGGGGAAGGGCAGCAGAGGACGGCCCCCACCTCAGGGAGGGGGATAATTTTAGAAGAGAATCCCCTGGCAGAGGTAAGTGGGGGAAGGGAGGAGAGCTATGAAATTCAACCTGACACCCGTATTCAAGGGCGGGTGAGAAGGACATGGACTCCAGCTGAGGCAGGCACTGCTCCATGTAATTCTCCAAAAGACCACACCTCCTGTGTCTTTGCTGTCTTGAAAATGGGTACCTATGTCAATTTTGTATCTTCTAGAGAATCTGTGCCACCCTCACTTGAGCTACTGGCTGTTTTTCTGTGGTACTTCCCTCCTCCCATTCCTATGTTTCTTTGCTCTCAATGCTCTCCCATCTTCACTCCCCTCTCTGGAGACAGGCTTTGCCTCAGCTGGCTGACAGACATCCGTCATTCCTCAGCAGCTTTCCACAGCCCTTTAGTCTCCGATGTTCCAATAGACCTCCCTAGACACAACTCAAACTGCTGCCTCTCCATGCACGCACCCCGAATTGGAGTCCACTGCATACATCTTTTTATGGCCAACTTAGAATCTGCTAAATTTTTGTCTACAGTGAAAAATCTTACATCTAATTTGGGCTAACTGAAAAATGAAATTCCAGTATCCTCCCCACTTCTACCTCCCCTTTTTGGCACTACCTGATATTTCAGCCTCCATCCTATAACCTAATCTCATTTGAACATGAGAAATCTCAAGGTTATGTCAATAAAGACAGGCCCACATCTGGTCATAGTGAAACATAGTGATAGCAAAATATGGGGGATTTCAGATCTAGGCATGTCTTATGAAGGAGAAGAAATGATACAAAGTAAGGGGCTAAGGAAATGAAATATGCAAGCTTCCAAAGATTGAGCATCTACAAAAATAGACACCAGGCACACATCAGTAATAAGCATCAACATTTATTTGGCACCTGATGGCAATACAAATTCTTGGCAGTGGAAAGTGTGAAGATTCTATCACTCAAATATATGCATTCTATACTGACCCAAAGGCAGAATTTTGCAGGAAGTCTTCAAACCACCTGGTTCACACAACAAACATTGAGCACCTCAACTACCATAGGCCTCAAACATACTGGGCACCATGGAGATGTGAAAGAAGTTGTCTCACATGTGATATGTCTTCAAACAGTTTAAAAACAAACAACAAATCAGTGGATAAAAATAAAACAACTGAAAAAACCAGAAGAGTACAAATACTAATTAACCTGTATACTATAACAGCAACTTAGAAATTGCTAAAAGGTAGGATTTCACTAGAGTTAGCTGCTTGCCTCCTTCCTTTATTCAAGAAACAATCATCGAAGACCTACTAAGTTCCAGGTACTGGGTATAGAGTAAGAAACATGGTTTCTGCTCTGGGAGGTTTCAGCTTAGTAGGGAAGATATCAACAAGTGAAACATGCAAATGTGCCTTACAAACTGCAGAAGCACAATGAACGGCCACCATGCTGCAGTCAGCAGAGGTCCAGAAGACTGTTCGTGGATAGCATGGTTGAGACGTCTCCACTAGACTCAGGAATAGAGAGCTCAGAAAACCATGGCTCTGATTTGAGGAACCGAGAGGGGCTGGAGCACAGTGAGAAATCACCACTTATTGAGATCCAAAAGGAAGGTAAGAGCCAGATCTCGTAAACTGGGGTAAGCATTTGAATTTTAGATGAGGTGTAACAGAAAGCCAGTGTTCTAAGCAGGGGTTTAAAAAAAAAAAAAAAAAAAAAAAAAACTACTATTATGTGGAGAATAAACTAGAAGAGGCAAAATGGAAATGCAAAAGATTTTAAAGAATAAGAAAGTTTCATAAAAGCAGAGAGAAGTGCTTAGAGGTTAATGGAGTATCATGTATGTTACTATCCTCCTAACACAGAACAATGGGGGGGGGCGGGTAATGCCTCATAAACTGAAGGAACTTTACGCTGAAGCAGATGGCAGGAACAGGAACTACAGTGCACCTTCAGTGGCCAGACACTGCAAAGGGGGACTTCACAGACTTCTCAGAAGCAGTGAACGGGAGGAAAGGAAAGTGGGAATCAGTGCAAAGCAAGAGACTTCATGATGGCCAGATATGAAGTACAGTGTAAGTGCACTGCAGAAATCACAGCAAGGAAGGAGATCCTGGTGACAGGTGACACTGTGAGACCTGGCACGCTTACCTGTCACTGCACTTTATACTGAAATGCCCTACCAGGTTCATCTCAATGACAATTCAAATACAGCAGGACCAGGGAAATTTCTACAACTTCCAGAGTTAGGCATGCAGACCTCAGGCTCTGTTCAAAGGCTGGGTGCACAGAGCACAAAGGAGCAAAGGGCAAAGCTGAGAAGATGGTTCGTCACCTAGGGCCCAGGGCCTGCACTCAAATGCCCAGGAACTTCTGCTCACAGAAGCAGGGTCTAATTCTCTCATCTGCCTCATCAAGACAGATGAGCACACTTACATTAAACTGAGACATCTTCCAATTCTTCACTGTGGGACAAATGAGGTTTAGATATGAAAAAAATAAGATAGGAAACGATCTCTGAGATACCTTAACTGATGGAACAAAAGCAATGAGCAAAGTACCCCTAAAAGCCCTGGGAACAGAAATAGCAAACAATGAGAAATCCATATGTCCTCTCCCCTCAATACTGTGTTCACAATGTCATTTTCCAGGTGCTTTGGCTATAGCCAAAATGCTTCTGGCCGTAACTCCATTCAGAGTTGGCTCTACAGGGAGAGCGCACCACATCGGAAGAGCTGTCTGTAAGTCTCATACCCAAAGATGGAGACGGCTGACAGGAAACAACCTGGGAGAGTCTCATATCCCTGAGGGGGTAGATAGAAAAAAAACATCCTGAAGAGAAAGCTCCATTGTGCCCCCCATGGTTCAGTGGCCTCCAACAGCAGGAAGAGCAGGTGGCATCACGTGGGCGGGTGGCCTGGGAACAGGTAGAGCTGCCGGCACAGAGTACTACAGTACTCAGACATCTCCTTGCATCGGTGGAATTCTGTGCCAGGGGCATAGCCTTCACGCTCCTTGATAAGGGCATTCACCTGGGAAGGCAGAACCAGTGGTCCAAAGTCTGAGATCACTCTGTGCTTCCATGATACAGACAACCAGAAGGGGAGACTAATAAGGTGGGCAGGGCAAGGAAGGAGAACACTGGAGATGAAAAGGTTTGTAGTGCCAGATGGCACTGACCTACCTTAACCAGCATGTCAGCCACGTGCATGTCACAAGCTCTTTCAGAGAAAACCCGAGTGAGTGCTTCAATGTACCAGGAACCCCGTTTGGTGTTCCGCATGGCAGCCGTGCCTACAACCAGGGGTGGGAAGGTCATGGGCAATCCTCACAAAGACAGACTTATGGCCTCTTCTACCCTCCCTAAACAAAGACCTTGGTTTAAAAACAAAACAAACCCAAGTCTAGGACAGTATAATCTACATTCACAGTCTCTCAAAATACCTTTTAGGCAAGCATAGCCACATATCATGTCCGAATAATCTACATTCACAGTCTCTCAAAATACCTTTTAGGCAAGCATAGCCACATATCATGTCCGAGCGAGTCGGCAGTCTCATCTTCAATAATTCTTCTTTGCCGGCATCACTCTCCTCACATCCAGGGGATTGCGGGTGGTTGTTTCCATCTTGCTGGTCAACCCCTCGGTCTGTCTCGTCTATAAAAGACCAACAGAAGAGATAAAGATGTTATTTTCTCCCATCTTTTTAGATCTGTTATAGGTACATCCAAGTTCCCTATAATCTTGACTGAAGAGCCATTTTCAGCTGTTGCTCCAACCTATGGCTAATAAATTAAAAAAAGTAAAATTAAAAACTCATTACTTTCTAAACACACATCCATTGCTCAAGGGATGACTTGTAAAGGCCAGGCAGGCACATGCACCTACACAGGCAGAACATGCCTCATTCTGCCTAAGGGTGAAAGTGCTCAGTTTAGCCCTCCTTGCAAATGGAGGTAAAAATCACCACATTAACTTGTTCAGTTAATAATGTATAGAAACACTTTATTTATTTATTTTGCTGTATCAGAAAACAAACTAGTGATATTCAGTCTTATTAAAAAATGGTCTGTTTACTATTCATATTCTACAATAAACTTACAACCTCAAACTATGTTACCAGTTTAAAAAAAAAAAAAAAAAACAAAGAAAACGTAGAGACTAAGTGTGATCAGAAGTTTTCAAGGTGGTTTTTACTTTTAAAACTTTTCTCTTTTGGGCTAGAGAGATGGCTCAGAGGTTAAGAGCATTGCCTGCTCTTCCAAAGGTCCTGAGTTCAATTCCCAGCAACCACATGGTGGCTCACAACCATCTGCAATGAGATCTGGTGCCCTCTTCTGGCCTTCAGGCATACACACAGACAGAATATTGTATACATAATTAATAAATAAATATTTAAAAAAAAAACAAACAAAAAAAACTTTTCTCTTTTTTCGAGACAGGGTTTCTCTGTGTAGCTTTGGAGTCTGTCCTGGAACTCACTCTGTAGACCAGGCTGGCTTTGAACTCACAGAGATCCGCCTGCCTCTGCCTCCCGATTGCTGGAATTAAAGGTGTCCACCACCACCGCCCGGCATTAAAATAAAAACTATTTGTTAAGTTTATAAGACAAATCATAGCAGGAGGCCAAGCTTATTAGAGAAGTTCAAAAAGGGAAGACGTTCTAGTAACAGGCTATTTTAGGGTCAGGCAGGAGTCATGCTGTAGAAAAGGACAGAGTGATGGGGCACAGGTCAGCACGCAGCTAAGAGTGTGCCCTTCACAGGACTTCCTGCATGAGATTCTCAAGACTCTCAGGAGCAGAACAAACTGATGCTCAAAGAACTTTTGGTAAAAGTTCATTGACTCACTGACTCAAAAGAGATTTTTTTCTTTTAAATTAAGCATCGTGTGTATACCAGGCACTGTCTTCTACTAAGATCTAGGGACACACTGCATGAAAACAAAGGAGAACAAAACAAAAAGCCAAACCCTGCTCTTCTCAAGCTCATTATCTAGTTTGGGAGTCAATCACTGTATTACGGGAAGATTGGCAAGTTCAATTATTCAAAGAAGCATCGGCTTCAGGTCACACTGTAATGGACTAGATTTTAGGTATGGACAGGACAGGCATAAAAGATTCAAATGACTACAGAAAAAAAGCAATTTCTTCATTCAGCCCTTACCACTACAGATAATATTCTGAGGTGGGAAGAAAATGACCACTAATGGTCCTTTAAAAAATGGAGGGCTTGCTTGTTGCCTTCAAGTTTCAGGCCTATTATTCAGTAAACATTATCCTCTTTTCTTCACAACTGATTTCTAGATTACTGCAATTTTTAGACATAGATTTCGTAACTTTTAAGAGTATAAAGCAGTGCTCTGGGAAACATCTATGAATGAAAAATGCTTGTTTTTACATGCTTTTTTCTTAGTGGAGTTCCCCGCCATGGTAACTTTCCTGGAAAAATAGAGCACACTATTTCATAGTTAAACTCCCCAAAGTATTGTCTGTTGAAGTTCAAAATCTCAGCTGTGACTAAGGGTTTGTAATTAGCTGGAGCAACTACCTGTGATCAGCCACAGCTCACTACAAGGCTTACAGAGATGCTAAGCATTTTAGATCTGGGCACTGTGGATATATTACATAATGGGGGGCAAGGTGGCCTACTGTACAACTAGGGGGTAAATCTTATAATCTTGTGCTTGTCATGCTGCACCACCCCCTTTTCTGGAAGACTCTCTCCACACCTGTGTAAAGGCATGTGTCCATGGTCCAAATTAAGCCTGTCCCTACCTGTAAATATCTCTTTAAACTAACCTCGGGTAAAATGGTCTGTTATTACTGTGTACTCTTACACAACTGCTATCACACGAATTTCACTCCTGCATGACAACTAGCCTCAAGCTGTTCTTCACATATACTTGCTTTAATTTCCCGAGTAAGCCATATACTCCTTAGGCATACTTAGATATTTTCTTCTGCTTCTGTGATGTCATTTATAACCACAGTCACACGGCAGGACCGTAAAATATACTCTGTGGTGACACAGAGGGAAACATAAGCATCTTCATGTTGGATTATGTAAACTTTAACCCACACTATAAAACATTTGAGGATGCTGACCACATTGTAACAGCCATGGCTGGCTTTCTCTCCAGATTTACCATGAGTCAGGTACAAGCCAACTAAGCACTTAGGTGCAAATTCATTAGTCATCAAAACAGCTTAAAGAAATTTTATATAATGACTATCCAGTTTATAAGAAGGAAATGGAAGTGGAGGGAAGTGAAGTAACTTCTCTCACTTCACATAGTTATTAAACAATAGAGTCACATTCTGATTCCAAATTTAGATTCTTAATTACTACTGCTTTCTTCTAGATGAGAAGGAGGCCTGTGTGTCTTCTGAGCCATGTGACACAGGCTTGGTTCTTAAAGGGGTAGGAGAAACTGCATGCAAGAAAGAGGATAGAAGCAGCTCAGGAGTCCGATGCAGACATGGGTTCTGTACTGTTCTCCTGCATGCTCCAAGAATGACAAAGAAAGGAAGCAAGAGCGCAGGAGCGTGAACACGGCACAGACAGAAAATGGAAAAGGGGTAAGAGAAGGAAGATTTGGAAGAGACAAGCAGAAATCCTTAACTGGAATGAGAAACAAAAAAAAAAAAAAGTGCATTGCAGTTAATAGCAGAGAAGAGTCCAGGTTCTCAGGAGAAAGGTCAGATACTGGCAAGAGGCTCCTGAGAACAGGATATGGAGGTGTACAGAGCTGGCCAGACTGAGAGCCTTGGGCTGCCCAAGTCCTAGCACACCCCATGCATTGGGAGACACTTACAGAGCAAGAGAGGCGGTGGCAGCAGTGAACAGAAGGAGGTGCCCAAGGGATCCAATAGCACCTGAGAGGAGCAAACAGGAAAGTGAGAGCTGGTGGAGGCTGCCCAGGAGCCACCACCCAGATGCTGGTTAGCCAGGGCACTCACCTCCACGGCATGCTTGGATGAAGAACATTTTCGGCTTGTTCTGTAGACTTGGACAGTTAGCATTGTCAAAAAGTCGAAAAACCTCTTGGAGCTACCAGAAACAATGAGGGAGAGGGGAAGTTAAACAACTGTGAAACCTCTTCAAGTCCAACACAAACAAATGCAGTCATCATCTGAAAGGTGGGCTGATGGTTGATCTTTCAGCTTGACTGATTTACAATCCCTTAGGAGACACAACTTAGTGTGCCTGCGAGGGCACTGAATGTCCAGAAAGAATTACTTGTGAGGGCGGCATCTCTTCTACGATGCATGATCTACCCACATGCAGGTATGCAGCCTTGTGCTCCTGTCCCAGGGGAGAGGTGGCTTCCTTGCCCCAAAAATCTAATAGTGGTCTTTGGAGTTAACATTTGGAGGAACTTGAAAGAGTCTGAAGCTGTAGGCTAGGAAGCCCGAGAATGGTGTAAGTAGGGCTTCACGGGCCATTTAAGTGGGAACTGGACAGCCAAAGTGCTAAGAGAAATACAGACACAGGCTAGCCTCAAGAGATCACAGACTCAATCAGGGGCTCTAATGAGAACTCAGCTTGTGTTCTGCTATGGTGTGAAATATGAATGCAGTCTGTTGATATTCTGAAAACTTGAGGCTGAATTTAAAATAACTGACTAATTTGCATATTTTAGCTTAACATTCAGTCTGTGTGACACGGTTATTGCTCACTAAATCTACCCAGGTTTATAGTGAGTGAAGTGCACAGCACAAAGATATGATATAAACATGAAGTGTTATGAAGAAAGGCTCTGAGTTTAGATAAAGTTAAGGACGGGGTGGGAGTTCTTTTATTTTTCACTAGAACGCCTTGAACTCTCAATGTCAAAGGTCTTCAATCAAGGACAATGAAACCCAGTGCTAGACATCTGGGAGAAGAGTTCTGTTAGAATCATTGACGCAAAATCTGAACTCTGCATTGGACAATAGAAAAGGTGCCTTTTCTCAGCCAAGAGAATTCCAAGGCTGACAGCACAAACTCACACAAAGGAGAACACCTGAAAAAAATTGTCCTTAGGGGTACCCTGCTAAATAAAGGTTACCCAGGGAAGTATTTTCTAAGGTTCAGGTAAAAAAGCAGAGGTTTCTGTAGCTATAGTTCCAGCTACATCTCAAGCTGGCAGCAGAGTGAGGTGAAATCATAGACGCTTGCATCAAGGTACCAGAAGAGCCACCGAAGCTAGGCAATGTATAGTCTCGGCAGGACTGGGTACCTGTATGAACTCCTGAGTAGTTGAAAAATTAAGGTGAAATATAAGTTGTATATGGAGAGCCCACATAATAGGGAAACCAGAAACTTGAGGCTTTTGCTAAGGAAAACTGTTGGCACCTACAGAAGCAGGGCCCAAAGAGCCCATATAAACCACAAACTAGAGCTGGAAGGGCAAGTTTATCACTTTAGTTGGAGCAAATGATGCAGTAAGGAACCCGAGAGGCTGAACATGGAGCTCTGAGGTCTGGTATTCACTCAGGAGGGCTTCAGTCTTGTTTTCATCCACTTTCCTTATTATGACCCTATCCCTTTTCTTTTTGGAACAGAAATGGTTACACTGCTTGTTTGTAATTTCACCCCCAGTCCCACAATAGTTTACGCTTATACTGTTGAACAGTGTTGAAACAGTTAAATCTTAGGAGATTCTTGGAGATGTATTGTTCACCATGAGATGCCCATTAAGTCTTCAGAGAAACAGGTTATGGTTTAAGTCATGTGTTTGGGTGTCTTATGACAGGACTTAAGATCATCAAAACAGTTTCTTTTTTCTTTTAAAATTTGATTATTTTTACTTATGTGTATGTGCCTGCACTGGTTTGTATGCACCATGTAAGTGCAGACGCCCAGAGAAGCTAAAGGGTATTGGATATTCTAGAACTGGAGAAGCTGTTGAGTTGGTACTGGGAATGGAACCTGGGAATGGAATGGGAATGGACTCTACAAGAGCAGCAAGGACTCCTAACTGCTGAGCTATCTCTCTAGCCCCTAGACCAGTTACTTAAACTATAGGTCACGAATTCATGAGATCTAAATGCAAGAGTTGTCAAAAGAGTTATCAAAAGGTTTCTGCATAAGTAATGGCCATCAGGTCATTCAAAATCAAATGCATAACAAACTAGAGTGTTTAGTGCTTATCAGCATTCACATCATTTCAGCCTTAGTTCTGAACATGTAACACAGACACGATGCACTGCATGTGCCAGCAAAGCTGCCTGAAACGCTTGGCTTAGGTATCTCCAGTGTCTTTACTGGACATACAAAGTTTCCTCTTTATAGAAGCATAAAGGTCTAATTATAGAAAATGGACTTTTAGTATTTTTCTACCATCACTGGTCATCATAGACATATAAGACTAGAATCTTTGGACTATACTGTTAGAATATTTGATTTTAAAAATTGCTGTTTGAATTGCTGGATTGAGTTTCATAAATAATATTAAATGAATTTTGATTTGGAATTGGGACAGCTTTTCCAACAATTTCTCTAACAGCTCAAAACAGGTATCTACCATTTTATGCTATGTATTCATGTGAAACAGTGTTCTTAGCACTGATTATAAAATAAAAAAATCAACTCTGAAAAACATGAAAGATGTTCCATACTAGCAGTTCTAAATATTCAGCATATGCGATTAACAAAGTACGTTATGTCCTCATTGCCATGGACTGTATCCCTTCAAACAATGAGCTAAAATACATCTTCCTTTAGGCAGCTTGTCAGGTATGTGGTCAGAGTAAGGGAGATGTAGCTAATAGAGATGGACAGGGGCAGAATGACCTATTTTCAATGCTCAGCTTTCAGAAAATTATACACACCTGAAGCAGTTTGCCATCCACACCATAGATGCCACCTTCCACACCATGTGAGAGGAGTGCCACTATGCAGGAGTCTGTGACCCGGTGTGCAGGTAACTGTGCAAAATTCTCAAGTTTCTCTTGCATTTCCTAGATAGAAAATGGAGACACCTGCTAGCATTGTTCACTGCAGTCAGCATCAACAGACATTAACCCCTGGCTTGTTTGAAAGAAGATAAAAGTGTTTTTCTGTATATTCCTATGATCACTGAAAAGTACACACTCTCTGAAAGGCTAAAGAAAACCATGCACTCACAAGAAAAATGCACATGACTTCAGACATCAAACTCTAAATATGAAGTCACAGGTTCACAGAAATAGTTAAGAACTATTAAAGTGAAATTTTAAAGAAGCTACATGGTGTGTGGGGACAGCTTAGTTGGTAGGGTGCCATTATGAGGCTCATAGCTTGTATCCCAGAACATGAGTAATACTGGATGGGTATAGGGCTTGCCTGTAATTCTAACACCTGGAAGGCAGACATGGGGAATTCCTAGAGGCAGCTGGCTAGCTATTAGTCACACTGAAAAAGCTCTGGGTTCAACTGAGACCTTGCTTCAACAAGGTAGAAAGTAACCAGACTCCTGATATCAACCCTAGGAACCCTACACACACATTAGATGCACATATTACGTACGCACATATTGAACACAAATACATACACATTAAAAAAAAGTCACTTTGTCAGTTCATCTTATTATGATATGAAGGAAATATTATGAATTTATTCCCAGGCAGAGAATCCCCGCACACAATCTTACACTCTTAATAAGCAGCTCATGTGTGCGTGCTTTGGAGTTCCTAAAGGTGTGGTTTTTCAAAGCACCAACTGCAGCAGCACTCAGAACTGGTGCAAAATGTTAAAGGCTGTGAGCGTCAGCAAATTGTTTCATAAACCTTCTCACCTATTCTGGAATTTCAAAGTTTAAGAGTTGCCAATCAAAGCCAGGCATAGTAGTATATACCTTTAATTCCAGTACTCTGGAGGCAGAGGCAAGAAGATCTCTGTGCCAGCCTGGTCTACAGAGTGAGCTCTAGGACAACCAGGGTTGTTAACACCCTGTTGTGGACTGAGGGGAGTGAGTTCACTCAGGTTCCTAGAGAGAAGGCAGCAGCACTCTAAGGATGACTTCAGCCTTTCCAGCTGCAGGGGGGCTCAGCCTCTCAGCACTGAGACACCTTTCCTTAGCCAAGGACCTCTTTACAGCTTTCTAATTTACACCTTTAAGAAGCTATTTGCATATCCCCCAAACATCCAAACTAAGCTTCCAAAGGGACAATGCCAAATGCAAATTCTCAATTAAGGAATACCACAGTGTGCTAGATTTTTTTCCCAACCAAGTTTTGTACAGACTTTGTTCCTCAGGAAACTCTCAAACAGGATTCACACAAGTTAAACAGAAGGTGCTGAAGACAAAGGGCAGATGAAGGTTAAGTGCCAACATTCAGGAGCCAGTTCTCCCTATAAGGCCTAGCTCAGGCTAACCCAGATAACCCAGAGTTTATTATGCAGCACATACTGGCTCTGAACTCTCAATCCTCCTGCCTCTGTCTGCTAAACTAGTGCAGGGATTACAAGCACTCATTATCATACCTGGCCTGTTTGGCTATTTCTGCTTAAATACATTGTAAAATAATTGGAGATTGTGAAATTAGTTTTGGTAAGAAAGCAGAGATTTTTCTGGATAAATAAAATCAAGTCATAACATAGTATTTGTTTATAAAATATATAATTTTGAGTAACTATGAATGCTCTACAGAGTCTAGTTAAACTTAATTTTGCTTGAAGAATGTAATAAAAACTATACATATATAATTTATACTATATATATATGGTCATTTTAAACTTGCTGATTATATCAATAAAAAGGAGCACAACTTTGTAACTGAATGTAAAACAAACCATTCAACAAATGTAGATTAGTTATTTGGGTGGATTTTTCTACAAGTGACATACCTTAAAATACAATCTGTAGATTTATTTTTTATAAAAGTATAGTAGTTCTATAAATAGCAGGGTTTGTAGTTCTTGGGTATGTTTTGGCTGGGGCTGGAGGCCAGATAAAGAGTATACCATCTATAAATAAATGCAAAACTATATAGAAAGTTGCTATTTTCCAGGGATAACCCATACAATATCCTTATATTCTCTGAGCCATCTGTAACCCAAACGTAAATTTAAAAGCAATAGCATATGGTGAGAGTAAAGCTTACCACTTTAGAATACACCTTCATTTCCTAATATGCTAAACTGTGATTCAAGAGTCAAGTTATCTCCCGAGGTAGAACCAATGCACATTTGATGAGACACTGAATATGTAACTGAGAGGTAAAAACACTAGTGTTCTCTTCAGTACCAACAGCAGAAAAAGATTCTCTACAATTAATTCTACTATTTTATATTTGAAGGGAATTATCACTAGTCAAAAAGGATTGATAATGATAAAAAAGAGGATCTTGGATTTCTTGGTCCTGTTTCTTTGCCTGCCACATAATCATATAATAAAAAGGCAGTCTTTAAAGATGCCATACATACGAGGGCATTCTGAGCTGGGCGATGGTGGCGCACGCCTTTAATCCCAGCACTTGGGAGGCAGAGGCAGGTGGATCTCTGTGAGTTTGAGACCAGCCTGGTCTACAGAGCTAGTTCCAGGACAGGCTCTAAAGCCACAGAGAAACCCTGTCTCAAAAAACCAAAAAAAAAAAAAAGAAGAGGGCATTCTGCACATTCCCAATGCAACAAAGTACGATATTCACGGCATTCCCTGGATTATCACGTCCATATCATCTACACACTGCTCCTTCTACCTAGGCTGTCTCCCTTAGGAGCCTGTCAGTTTTACCTGCTCTGACTACTTTTCTGACCTCATCTACTCCTGTGGTTTTTACTTTCACCTCCTGTAAGAACAGAAGCTCCAGCTCTATTAGTGATAGAGGAACAAAATGATGCTGAGAGCACACTCATTATCTATCCTCGATTTCAGAACATTAAATTTGTGCGTGTCAAATTACAAGGTGCTCAAAATTTAGCTTCACTGCAACTCAAGTGACAGAAAAACATGGGAATGAGACTTTAGAAGCCCTTGAATCTGCCTTAGATACAGCTTAAATGGAACTGGCCTATAAAAAGTACTTTATGGACTCACAAAGTCTCCTGAATGTCTCGAAAAGACAGCAGTATTCAACTGTATTCGTGACACAGTATTGAAACCTTTATTAGGTATCAAAGATCTACTGCCCAACACACTATTTAGAAGACCATGACAAAACAGTTTCCTAGAAGTTTATATGAAACAGACACAAAATACTCTTAGAAAACAAATACAGCACAAATCTGGCTAGATGACCTTACAACTCCCTCAAAAGTAGCAGAGGTGGACAAGCTACCTACTTCATTCAGTCCCTTTGATGGAGGGGAAAAAAAAATGTTCCATCTCTGACTTTTGTTTTTCCTGGTGTAGGGGACTAAATTCAGGGCTTTGCACCTGCTAGGCAATTGCTCCAACCACTGAGCCACGATCTCAACTTCCAGCCTTGGCTTTGAAGCAAGAATGGATCTATTTTAAACGGGCAATTATGGGCAAGCTGGCAAGAGAATCACGTCAAGAATGGCATTGAGACACCTAGAGATGAAACTGGCCACACCCAAAGTATAGTAAATACATAATTCTCATAGAAGTGGGATAGCCAAGATGACCACAACAAACTGTCAACACAAAACCAGGATCCTCTACCTCAAGGGGCCAAAGGGAATTTTTTTTAGACAGGGTCTCACGTAGTCCTGGCCACCCTTCAACTTACTATGAAAGACTGGTCTTAAACTCTAACTTCTGATTCTCCTGCCTCATCATGGCTCAGAACCTTAAATTCTACCTCCCTAAGCCCAAAGATCAAGTTTAAGAACATACTATTACAGAACAAAAGCAGTTCAGAATAGTATACAAATAGGTCATTATCAATTTCAAAATATAAATCTTAAAAGTCACCAGAGAAGCTCAGAAATAAGTCAATAAGGAGCAGCCCACAACAAAATGCTTATGACGTGCGAGCAAGCAACCTACCCTAAAACAATCCAGCACTGACTTAATCAGATGACCACTAAACAGCATCTGCATATATTCTTCTACTTGAAAAGAACTGAATCTGCCAAAAGTAATGCTTTAAACAATAATTGGGATCTTAAGTAACGGTATCAACTGTGAAGTAAATGGCTGTGTGGCCTGATTTATAAATACCCTTTTGGAGTTTGTTTGGGAGGATCTCGGTGTTTCATTACTTCCTGAGTGACTAGGAGTTAAGTTTCTGAACACATAAATGTGGGAACCCGACCCTGAACTGTGGAACTCCACGAAAGCACAGCTACCTTAAGACAGCAATGTCCAGGCAACTGGCTAACTCTCCTTCTTTTCCCTAGATTGTAGGAAGCAGCAAACAGTGAGTGAGAAACATCCAGGAGGCCCAGAGGAACAGAAGCACCCAGCCCAAAGTACAGCCCACCCGATTCACACGCCAGCCTTTCCAGCCGCAGGTACCTGTGCAGTCTGGTCATGTAGAACATGGACATTATAGCCCAAAAGCTTGAAGAGGGTGACTAGAGTACTGTGGTCCACATCCCCTCCAGAGCGAAATTCCAGGTCTTTCTCTCCAGTGAAGTGCACATTACTCAACACCAGTGCCAGGCCACGAGGCTGAGACTGCAACCTATAGGCCTAGAAGGAGGAGGCCAATTAGACAACGAGCCTCTTGATGACAGGCAATGTGGTTACTCAATGACATCAAGCCTTTCAAAACACACCCCAAACAACAATCCTTATCCTCAAAGCAGACAACTCCCCAAATCCAGCCTCTGCTCTTTTCTTTTTTTAACCATACCAGGTAAAAAGGCAATGCCACAGAAGGTATCAGTCAGCAAGGACACTTTCTGACAGAGCAGCAAGAAAACATGCAAACCAGGCTCAGAAGAACAGGTCTCTCACTCCCCACCACTCTCCTTGAAATTATGCAAACTCACCAGCTGGTAGTGTGCCTGATAAAACTCAGGAGTGCATGGCTTCACCTGAAGGCAGGGAGGACCATCCCCATTATCTAAGGAGTGTTCCATGGGACCTATGGTAGGGAGAATGCCAAAAGCTCGTATACATTTCAGCACTGCTCCTTATAACTCCATTAATTAATCAATTTAGCTGTAGGCAGCCCTTTAAACTGAGGTTTCAATGAAATTATTCCTCCAACATGTAAGTCCCGTGCTGGCACAGACCATGTTGACCTCTGCCCATCCCTGAGCCCCCACCCATGGCTTCATAAAGAAGACACTCAACTCGCTGAGTGATGGAAAGGGCTTCTGAGACAAGCCTGGTTTTAATCACCTCAGCAGAAACATGGAGCCTTTTTTTGTTTGGCTTTAAAGACAAAACACTCAAATCATTCACAGGAAATCATGGTCCCCATCTGAATAAGTTACACAAAAAGCCAATTGTTTTGAAGACTACTACCTGTGATGAAGGGAAATGGGTCCGACTTAAATCCCTTCTAAACTGCCCTGTCAGCATAGAGAACTGTTCCTATCAGGAAATAGACCCCACCATTCAGAAAGCACGTAGGTCAGTGCGGGAGGGTCCTTCTGTCCCATTCATTCTCACCTGTGGACAGGCGGAGCTGCTTGTGAGGGGGGCAGGTCTCACACACCGAGAAAGGGAGACTTGTGTCATAGTCACAGCTCAACTGGAAGAAATCGAGACTCACCATCAAAGACCTCAGAGAGACAGTCAAGTGTCTGTCTCGCTGTGCCCCCTGCCCCATATCCTTTCTGGTCAAACTAACACAGCCCAGGGTGCATTTCCA